CTTCCTGCAATCACACACACACACACAAATCGTAGTAATTAGATGTATAGAAATTACAGAGAGTCGAGGTTTTAGTGTGTGTTTTTCGGAAAGAGAGAAGGTGTCGAAGACTGGATCGGCAAACGGAGGAGGAAGCGAGGCAAGTAATGGCATCGGCGGCCGGTGGGTGACGGAATTTTTGGTTGGGATGGGTTTGGGATGGTGGTGGCACGGTGGGCGAAGTGGGGAAGAAGGAAGAAGACAGTCTTGGGCGGATATCTGGTGAAGGTGAATACAAAATATTTTTTTATTTTTTGTTTTCTTTCTTTTGTTTTAATTTTTTATTTTTTTTTTGTTTTTTTAAAGAATAATTTATATTTAATATTAAAGATGTAAGTAAATGGACGAATATAGCCTTGCAAATGTCACGTGCAAGGCACATGTTTTAACTTTCCGGTCAAAATTGCCGGAAAAATTAGTTCAGGGGGCACCGTGCAACGAATTAACGAGTTCAGGTAAAAACGTGCAAATTTTTTTTGTTTGGGGGGTAAAGTGCAAATCGGGCCATAGTTTAGGGGGCAAACTGCTTTTTACTCCTTGTTTTATGATTATTTTTACTCATTTCAGTTATATAGTAATGGAGCCCGATATAAATCCGAAACCCGAAAAAATACATGAGCCGAACTTTAGCATATACTAATAAGGCTCGATGGTATGTGAGCTTGGCCAATGATAACGAAACCAGATGGTATGTGAGCTTGACCCGACCCAAGCTCGGCTCACATGACCTGATTGCCATCCATAATTATAACATTGGCATCTACAAGATTTCTATATGTGTTAGGAAAACAAAAACATACCTTATTACTAAAGTAAAATTATGCTAAATCTCAAAGGATAAATTTGGTAATTAACACTATGCATATATATATATATATATATATATATATATATATATATATATATATATATATATATATATATATATATATATCTTTGTAAATTAATACAGTTGGGACTAGAGAAATTCGATTAATTTAGCGAAATATTAACTTAATAATTTAACACGTTCTCACCAAATGGGGACCAAAAGAGATTATTATTAAAACGAGATTATTAATTCATCAGAGTATTAATTTATCGAGATTCTTCGGTAAGTGTATGCATGCCTTGAAATGGAGTGTATATAAAAACCGCCGCCCCCCTCTCTCTGTGGCTGAGGGGCACTTCGCCACGCAAATATCTTCATTTTCTCCCCCCCCATTGCCCCGTTTTTTGCCTTCTCTTCTCCACTCATATATTTTCAAGTCATATCCTCCCATTGCCCCTTCGTTTGCCTTCTCACTTTTCATAACTTCCAACAAATTAGATTACTACTAAAATTAATTCCAAATATTCAAAGCATTTAATCGATATTTCGAGCCCGGGATAGTTTGATCGATCAAGAATCGGAGAGAGAGTGCGGTTTCAATTATGGCCCTGCACATGCAAAATCCAGCCGTCCATTTTAAGCAAGATTACACGTGGACTGATCCAGAAAAATATATTATTAATGGCGATCAATGCCGATCGCGGATTGGTTTTTTAATTGGCAGTGGTGGTGGTGGTTCGTCGATTAGAAGGAGCTTGAAGATGAAAGCCGATGCGAAGAAAACGAACGTGGAAACGGTGAACGGGAAGAGAGTTAATGGAGTTGTTCGTGTCGATGATCGTGATCAAAATGATGGGATTAAATTTATTGAAAATGGGACTAGTAATAATATGGATTTATCGAAAAATATTGGAGAAAATAATAATAATGTGATGAATAATGGGTACTTGCTCGGAAGATTTGCGGAGGATCGGTTTGTTTTCCGGCAATCGTTCGTTATTAGGTCTTACGAAATCGGTCCCGATAAAACTGCCACCATGGAAACCCTAATGAATCTCCTCCAGGTTGTTTTCTCTTCACCTTTTTTTTAATTCGATCATATATTTTTATTTGAGAATTGAGAATGATTAATTTTGAAATATATTTATTTCGGCACGTGCAAATAAATTGGTGCAGGAGACGGCACTGAATCATGTAGCGAATTCCGGAGTGGCCGGAGACGGTTTCGGGGCGACCCGTCAGATGAGCATCCGGAAACTGATTTGGGTCGTCACTCGAATACAAGTACAAATTGAAAAATACAGCTCTTGGTATGTTTTTTTTTATTGTCTCTATGATGATATATTAGGACTAAATTTCGAGTTTGGTGTAACCCTGAATCGGCTTACAATCGAATATATAATGTCATATCCTTTTTAACAGTTTTTTTATGTTATAATTAAGAGTTAAAATTGAATAATAATTTTATCATTTTTTACGATCGTAATCCGAAAAATTTCTTACTTTCGAACAATATTTTTCTCTTTTTTTCCCGATTTTTTTGGACCAGAATTGAAATATTTACAAGCTTCACATTTTGTATCCGATTTTAGTTTTCATTTGTAATATGGTTAGTATGTATATTATGTTATAGGTGAATACAAAATAGAATTGTAAAATTCCAATTGTGAAAGTTTTCGATTTTACAACAAGTATTTTTCATTTCAATTTCCGAAATTTTCTAATGTTTCTTGGAACAGAATCGAAATTAATTCTTCACGTCTAAAATGAATCAAATTTGTTTTTTGAAAAATAAAATTACGATCTGATCCATCCGACATTATTCGCCATTTATGACCTTGTTGATTGAAAATTCATCCTTTCTTATAATTGGAGATAAAATTATCAAATAATACAAAATAACTAATCTTTTTTATATGCATGTGAAAAAAAATGTTGACAGGGGAGATGTTGTGGAAATAGATACATGGGTTGATGCAGCCGGTAAAAACGGAATGCGCCGCGACTGGATTATTCGAGATTATAACACCCGAAAAATCATTACTCGAGCTACCAGGTTTCCTCATTTATCATCTCCGATTTTATTCCGAAAAAATATTAATTTCATTATTTACAAATATTAATTAATTAATTATTTATATATTTTGCAGTACATGGGTGACTATGAACAGAGAAACAAGAAGGTTGAGTAAAATCCCAGATGAAGTAAAAAATGAGCTTCTGCCCTTTTACCTCAATAGAGCTGCCATTGCTACAGAAAATACCGATCGAGAAAAGATCGAAAAACTCACCGATGATACTGCTGAAAGAATTCGAACAGGCCTAGCTGTAAGTATACATTCATAAACATACTCGATAAATTTCATCAGATAAATATCTCGTGACACGCGAGACGTAAAAAATCAATTCACTTACCTAATTAATATATTGAGTGTGTTTATAATGTGACGATCCAGCCCCGATGGAGCGACATGGATGCAAATCAACACGTAAACAACGTCAAATACATCGGATGGATTTTGGAGGTATGTATGATTACCAAATAATTGTTACTTCATTAATCACAATAAATATACAAAATAATTGCCAAAATAATTTAACATTAATTAATTTGTATATGTGCAGAGTGTGCCGATAAATGTTCTAGAAGATTATAATATGACGAGCATGACGTTGGAATACAGGCGTGAATGCAGACAGTCAAACGTACTTGAATCCTTAACAACAATTAAACCTCGAACGAAAACAAATGATTTAGAATGCACGCATTTGCTTCGTATGGAAGATGACAATGCTGAGATCGTTCGAGCGAGATCGGTGTGGCAGGTCAAGAAAAAATAGATTATATCTTTTTTTTATTTTTTTTTGCAGCTAAGTAGTAGTTGGTTAATATATATCAATGATTTTTAATTTGTTTGCATTTGCCGACTCTGTTGTAATTTAATTTTTGAATTTTTGTTAGGAGTGGAAGTTTGATTTATGTTCTTTATAATTTATTTGGCTTATATGTACTTGTAAACTTTCACATTAAGCTGGCTTTGAACTTAAATAACAGAGCTTCTATTTAAATTAACAATGTAAATGAATCGAGTCGAGAGATTAACTTCTAGAACGTTTTTCTGCTTATTTTAAAACTTCAATCGAAATTTCTGAATTTCGTCGATTTTGATCATAAAATTTCTAATTTCGGAGCAAAATTCTCTTTTTTTGAATTTCGAAAAAATACCGATTCCTGAGGCAATGTTTTGTTTCATTTCCATTTCAATTTCATTATTTCCCGGAAATGAATTCGTGTTTGTTATGTTTAAAAAAAAAATCATAGAACAATCTCAAAAGCTTCTCACTCCTGGAGACATGATTAAACTGTTACAATAAAAAGATTTGACTGCTATAGTAAAACATGTATTCACTAAAAAACAAACTAAGTTCGATTTAATTTTCGAATTCTTATTTTAAAATACATTTTCTCTAACGTCTTTAAACATGATTTGACTGCTACAGTATTTTTTGTCTGATCTAAAAGTATAAACGTATTACTTTTATTTCAAATATTCTTACAAAATATATTTTTCCAAAATAAAATGAAAATACCTCTCAAAACGAATCCTCTCATAACAAATCGAAACTTTGCCTTTTTTCATAATTTTTGTTGGGAATACAATTGAAAAATTTCCGAATTTTGAAAAAAAAAATTAATTTCAACTTTCCGAATTTTGATTTTTTCGATATATATTTAGAATGTAATTCGAATTAGTTTTTCACATAATTTCTTGTTAGGACCAATTCCAATCGGATCTGCCCAATCATACAAACAAAATCAAAGGAGCCCATAATTTTGCACATCCCAAGACCCTAATTCTAGATATACACAATTTGGACTATACTAATTTTTAAAGTATTATTTTTTTTCAAATCTAAATCTTAAATCCTAAATCTAGGTCAGGAATGTATAACTGACTTGATTGAATATTTTATTGTTAAAATAATTAATATGTACGGAAAGAAGTCAATTCAAATTATATTGAAGACCAAAACCAGTGGCATTAACTGACAATGCTCACATTTCCCAATTCATTAAAGAGTCTTAAAAGCATCAATTTTTACTTTATCTTTTTTTTGTTATAAAAGTAATAACCAAATAACTGAAAAAACTTTTCATCGATTTCTTCATCGGCTTAGGCCTTGTTTGGCATATGGATCCGTAGGTAGGTTCACAATATAACTTAACATATAGGGTCAATTATGAAAAAAAAATCATTATTTTTGGATAACTAAAAGTATCTCTCGGTTATAACTTAACATATAGCGTAAATTGCGGTCACATCTAATATAAGGTTAAATTATGAAAAAAAATCATTATTTTTGGATAATTCACACTCTATATCAATTATGAATAATTGTTTTACACACTATGCTGTCAAATTTATCATAATTTTCTAGATTTAGTGGAATATTCTCAAGTTTGTACGCTTTTTATGCAAAAATACTATTTCAGATACACCAAAGTCTGATATTTACAAGTTAAAATGCACATTTTATGATCATCTTGTTTTTCAAAATGTGGAGCTGGAAGGTGATCAAACGGGTACAAACTAGATAATGTTCTCCATAATTTAGAAGATCCCGTTAAATTTAACACCATAGGGTGAACGTGTAAGACAATTTATAGTTGTGACAGTTGTAGAAGAGTTTTTTTTTTTTTTTTTATTTAACCATACCTCAAGAGGATGGCCTTAATTTACCTGGATATATTTAAAATTTTAAATCTTTGGGTTTAAAGAATTACAATTTTTGACCCTATTTAGGAGTATATTTATATTTTCTTTTTTGGTAAAATAGATGTTTCAGTTGAAAATTTTGAAAACTGCTAATGATTTTACAATTAGAGTCAAATCATGTTTAAAGCTAGCAGAATAAAAGTATTTTGCAAAAAAATATTTTCTTGAAAAGTAAAATGAGATTTTTATTGTATTTTATCGATGACAAAAATATTAATGAAGTAGTCAAATAATCACGTATAGTTGTACTTAATTAATCAATCATACCAACATATATCCCCAATCGATCTTTAAAATTATTATTCCGGCCAGCTGTATCATCTTCAAAATATTTGTTTGAATCGAACATATATATATATATATATATATATATATATATATATATATATATATATATATATATATATATATATATATATATATATATATATATATATATATATATAGAGATATGTACATATGGAGAGGACTTGCTGATATATTATGAGTGTGTGAGATTTTGCTCTCGCACGCAATATTTAATATTTTTGATATATAAGAGACAATAATAAATACGAGAATCTCTCTCATCGTGTTATATAGAGATAAGCGCACATACCCCGTGTGTTATTTCAAATTGCAAAAAAACCCCCCGTGATATAAAAAATAGAGAGACCCTCTGTGTGGTGTGCTATACAAACCCCACTGCCCCTTTATTTCAAAATCTGACGTTGACTTATATGACTTAGTCGTACTTGTTCGTGCACTGGCAAGTTTTTTTATTTTTATTTATTTTTATTAAAATAAATTAATTCAATTTCAGATTTAAATATTATTAATTTTAATGTAAATGATAATATTAATAATAGTAATTATTCCAAGTCCAGGCCATTATATATATATTGAATTTGAAGTCTTTAGTAATAATAATAATAATCAAATTCTAATAACATTAATAAAAAAAAAAAGGGATAGGGCTCAGACTTGAGCTCGAACGCAAATACTCATAATCCAAGAGCTTGACCTCGCCACCACAGCCAAGTTTCATTCACACCCCAATATAACTCTAATGTTATTATCATCATCATCATCATCATCATCATCATTATTATTATTATTATTATTATTATTATTATTATTATTATTATTATTATTATTATTATTATTATTTTGTTTTTATATTCAATCCTATCTTACCTTTTCCTTATCCGTTTTTTTTTTTTTTGTCACACATACATATTTACAATTTGAGAGAAATATGAACAAAGATGATATCTTTTATAACAACTTATTTTATCCATCCACCATCAGAATTGAAAAACGACTAGTTAAAAGAAAAAAATCATCAATTAGAGTCAAATCATGTTTAAAGGTAGCCAAATATATGTGCGTCCCAATAATAAGACAAAACTAATATAGATAAAAAGGAATCAAACTTTTTTCTTTCATCAAGCAATATACTTCAAATCATTTGAAAGCATGAAATGAAACTTATTTACTTTCTTAGTGCAAAATGACTAGATTCTGATTGGACAAGGTTTCACTCTACCAAGAAGGTAATTAATTATTCACTCGATAGCTGCCGTTGATGGCGGATGGACTAACCATGAAGTGAAAACACTCATTTAATTGGTAAGATAAGTCATACTTAATTACATCATTTGTCATTTGGATGACACAAAAATTCAATTCTCTAGTTGTGTGTAGAATCTGACCCGTTTAAAATCTGTTATCGAAATCACTTGGATATGAAACAATTTTGGTAAAATTCTATTCAATTCCCATTATGGTTTTCAAATTTTCCAAGTGTCTTGTGCAATGATGAAATTCGAGTACTAATGAATAATGTTGGGTAGAATAAAAACGAGAGCATAAATATTTTTTCGGAGTTATCTTTCTTGATGAAGGCACACCAAATAACGTGGTGCTGCTCTCTCTCTTTTACATTCTCTTAAAGAATCCTCGTGTACAAGAAAACTCATTTAGAATTAAAAAAACATGCACATGGAATTATTTAGAATATAAGATACTAGCACATACCTTATCTAAAGATTTTATATAAGTATAAACAAATGTAAATTGTTATAGTGACCAATTAGTGACAAAAGGTAAAAAAATCGTAAGATGAAAACTCCGTTTTCAATATTGCCAAGAGTCTTGTTGTTCAAGATTTCTTAAATGCAAGTATAAAATGGGGTATATATCAAAATCTTTAATAAATATTTTCATACTTAGAAATTGAAAGGTTACGTTATATTTTGATATTTCACTTTTTGAGATGTAAAAGTACATCCTGGAAAAAATAGAAAAAATATCAAATGTAAGTTATAAAATCAACCACCTCAATGACTAAATGTCCATTTAGGAGTGACATGCGCTAATTAGATATATAAACCAATTTAGTTATTTTTAATCAATAACTATTTGACACCTATGATTGGAGAAAATATATTTAGATAAATATGAAAATAAAATATTAAATGTCAAATAAATATTTCATTTTAATACTTTTGAGTTGAAGTTGCTCTAGATTGATATCTGACCATATAATCCATTTTTTCCTTTCAACTCCAGTAGCTCTTCTATAATTTGCCATTTTTTCTCAAATTATAAAAAATAAACAGTATTTTAACGCCGTACTTTTTAACAATAATTATACTTAGGGCTGTGCATGGATCGGTTTTAACCATCAACCAACCCATTTTCGACCCACAATTTATGATGGTTAATCAACCATCAACCGACCCATTTAAGTTGGGTCGATAATGTCAACCAACCCATGTATAGGTGGGTCGATAATGGTTTCTAATATGCTAAAAAGTTGGTTAGTCGGTTAATATCGGCCAACCAACTTTATTCATTAATTTATTATTTGTTAATTTTAATTAAAATATTTAATATTTTTAATTTCAAATTTCTATTTTATATCACATTTATTAAATTGTTTAATATTGACCAAAATCCTAAAAGCAATAAATCTAACTTAATTATCTAATTTGAACTATTTTAATTTTAAGACATACAATCTAAATATTTGGACGATTATTATTTGTTGAACTAGTTATGTTTAATTGCAATATATATGCACGTAATGTTTTGAATCTTTTATTTGAATATTATTGAACTAGTCGCATTTAATTTATAAATGATATAGCGTTGTAACAAGTAATAAAATATTAAAAAAAAATTAAAAAATATTTAGATGGATGACCCATCAACCAAACCACCAACCAACCCATTAAGTTGGTTTTCAACCATCATCCAACCCATGTAAGTTGGGTCGATAACGGTTTCCAATATTTACCAAAGTTGGTT